AGTTTCATCTCTCACCCATGCACCATGTTTGGTAGGTCTAACAGAAGGTAGGTGCGGGCAGGAAAGGTACTGGGTGTTTCAGTTTTTGTGAAATAAAGTGGTGATGCTCTTTCGGTTTAGAAGATCACACAGTGCCACCACACATGAAAGTGGAGCCTTTCATATTATCGCAGTGCCAGCATGTGGGAGAGGTGTGGAGAAAGAGCTATTTCAGTCTGCTTGGTACGATAAACCAGCAGTAAATTGTTTTATAGTGCTGCTCTGCCAAGGTTGATGCTTTCAGTAGTTTTCTAGAGTAGCTGAAAATAGATTCCCATTGTTTCCGGGGTATTATACAATTCAAGGGGTATTATACAATTCCGGGGTATTATACAATTCATTATACAATTCAAGTCAGACATCCATTGCTTTGCGGGGTTGGAGACTGAGAAGGGCATATGGTCTAAAACCAATTCATAGCACATGGAGATTGGTTTACATAGGGGGGGAATGGGTTTATTTATACAGAGTTGTTCCCATATTGTTATTCCAGATGTCAAAGTAGTAAGCCTAGCATCTGATATGAGATGGTGTTTTTAAAGAGTGTAATTGTAAATATGAGTAGTGTGAGGAATAAGGAACTGTATATTTAGTTGTTACGGTGTCATAACCTAACAGGTCGTTCACATGATATAGGTAGTATATGGTGCTGTGGCAGAACCACTGTTTATTCGTGTGTTTTCCACTTGTATTGTGTGTTTCTGTCAGGGTCTTACCAGAGTTGGGAGTCTGTAGCGCAGATATGATGCTCACCCTTGCAAATAGCCACAGGCCAAGGTGGTCAGGTAAGAATTCACCTGGCCTATGGATCTGTGCACGGGGGCTGTGCCGGATGAAGTTCCAAAACGCAGCACAGGCAAGGACTCAAACAGCAGGATAGTCAACTGGGGGGAATAGGTGTTCTTACTCTTTAAGTTGTTCCAGAGTGGCTGAGGGAAGGAATTAGCAGAGGTAACCGGTCGAGTTACCCGTGATCTGCTACAGGTGCGTGGCTCCATTTTCTATCTAGGGGTTAGCGTTGAATGTGGGAATACAATATGTCAATTCATGTAATGGAGTTGATAAAGACAATGTGGTAGTGCTACATAATTTGGAGTTGCATTTATCCCAGATTTGGAGCAGTATATTAACTGTGGGGGCCTTAGGTATAGTAGGGCAAAGGTGTTTATGAAGCCAAAGTAGACAAGAGAGGTTGTGAGGTGGAGATGTCTCTCCAGGCAGACCCATTGTGGAGAGGGTGTAGCGAGTACGTGAGGAAGGACAGTGGCCGATATCGAGACATGGTAGTAGGACTGGACATCTGGAATGGCCAGACCCTCTTGTATTTTTGATCAGACATGCACTTTTGATATGTTTTTAAATTATTTTAATTGTTATTGATAATTTCCCCATTACATATTTTTTAATTTTTTAATAA